GCAACATGGGGCAGAAATACACCAAGAGCCGCTATATGCTGTTTTAACTACTAGCTACTCTGGCAGTAGTGAAGCAATACTTTGCGCCAATAATATCCAAGAACAGACATTTTTACAAGTTACCAATACTGTTGAAACAAATACAAATGATAGAGATTGGTAACAGCAACATCAGTGTGTTGTGGTTGATAAAAAGAGGAATCTTTTTGTTCATCAATTTTTAAATAGCAACAGAATAGCCTAGGGCCGAGGGATGTTCCCTGGTATAGGTCCATGATGAGCTGTATATCTTTTTGTTATGGTTTAAATCATATATTATGTTGAGAGACGTTCCTTGACCCTGCGTTGGATTTTATTTATTTTTTGTCCCGTTCAAATTTCAAGTATTTTCGCTAAGCAGAGTCTGTGTGTTTTTTTTTCTTGGATAGGGGGGAATAATTTTACTGAAGGTGTATCACGAGCGTTACGCATTTGTTGAGTACTGAATGGCAAAGTACAGACGGGAATTCATTACAATTTGGCTTGTTTTCTGGAATCAATATGCGAATACTTCAGTGGGATTTTTCATATGGTATTTAATATGATAACATAAGGAAAATTTTGAGAAAATCAAGTATTTTAAAAGTCAGTCTTGTTTTGGGTGAGGCGAGCAGTGAGAAACTTGTAAAGATTTCATTTTACGATTAGAACACAAATTGATGAGATCGCAAACGACATTAAACTTCGAGTTTTCGAAAAAAATCAAGTCATCACCCTTTTTCGCAATCAAATGTGATGAGGCTGCTAATTAATGTCAGTCGTTGGGGTATGTCCGTTTTGGAGGATCAACTTCAATTGAAGGCGACATGCTGCTTTGTAAACCTCCCGAGACGATGTCTGAAGGTGTGTTCAAACTTGTCGCTGCATTTTTTGAAAGAATAAATTAAAATGGGAGAAGCTTGTGTCTGCACTGATGGTGCGCCGGCAATGCTAGGATTTCGAAGTTAATTTATTGCCAGGATGAAACAAAAAACTTCGACGTTGTTGGATCACACTGTGCAATCCATCGAGAGGCCTTGGATTCCAAGACTCTATCTACAGCAGGCCTGCCCAACTTTTTTCGTCTCGTGGGCCACTTTCAAGTGACTAAATTCGTTGCGGGCCGCAAACGTTTATACCAAACATTGATACCAGCTAAGTCCTGATTTCGGTGTAGGTAGGCTACTTTACATAATAAATAAAAGGCAAGTTTATTAACATCAAATCAATCAATTTTATTACTGTTTTCTCGTTACTGAGTAGGGCTGGCAGATTATTCGAATATCTAGTCAAATATTAGAATAGCAGTTTACAATTCGAATATCTGGTAACACGGGGCGTAGACAATGTTTAAATGAGCATAACGTGCACCACTTTTGCGGGAATATCAAGTTTAAGTTGGCCGTTTCGTAAAATTTGAAACACCAATACAAATATTTAATGAAGTAACATTCCAAAGATTTCTGAGCGAATAGCCTATATATATATATACTAAACGTGACCAATATGCATTAATGCCGTTAAGTCAATTCCATCAGAATTATTGACGGATACGCAGTGACGAAATCTTAAACCCAAACATTTGATAAAAAAAATACAAACATAAAAGAACGACGAGTCCCAGGACCAGTACCAAAGATATTGTTGACATTTTATTTTACGCTGGCGATAAAGACGATCAAAGCAGACACGTGAAAAAAAAATCAGAATGAAATTAATTCTCAAATTTAGGCTCCAAATACTTTCCTATAATTGCGCTCAGCGTATTGTGATCGCACAATATCGTTCGAGTTCGTCGAACAGAACGCTCAGTTCTGCGAGAAATAAAAAAAAGAACTGACGTCGATGTCCACCAGGGCGCAAGACTTGACACATACGTAATAATAAGAACCGGCATTTGAATGTAGATAGATGGCAGGAATAATCACACCAAAATCAGAAACGTACTTAACCCTATATATTTATATATATATAACATGGTAAAAACATAAAAAGTCTGCTTACAAACTTTATAGGGCGGGCCGCAAAAAAGTTGGCATGCGACAGCCGCATCTACAGCGAATTAAACAAGTGCTGCCAAAACAATAGTGTTTGCCAAGTTCTGTAAGGAGATGGATTGTAATCACGAAAAGCAGCTGTCCCATTTATTTTGGCACTAGTCCAGCGGATAAGAGGTAAAATCATGCACTATTAAATGCAAGCATGAAACTTGGCACACATGTACAGTAGCATCCCCTGATCAATTTTGGATATGGTGCCATCCAAGAAAATACCCCGTTGCCATGGAAACGAGGCATCCATCCGTATTGCTATCCAAGGGCAAGAAACATTACTTTAGGAAAGGATACTTCCAAGATAAGTAAACCGATGTGTATTTAAGAAGTGAAGAATATGATCAGGAGTGCATTTTGACAATTGCCCTTGATAACAGAATACCTGGTTACCATGGAAACGAGGTGTCGCTATCGACCAATCACGATTATTAGTCGCACAACCTGAACCCTAACCGGAACACAAATACTATGTTCATGTTGTGCGCCACCTTGGTGCAATAACAAAATAATAACAAAACAATCCATATGTACACTTCGTTTCCAATATTTGATTGAAGTCCGATTGATTTAAGTACCACTAAGGCAGGGTGGGCAAAATACAGCCCGCGGGCAGGATTCAGCTCGCCGAAGTATTTCATCCTGCTTGTAGAATTTACGACTACAGTATATATAGTTTTTGCAAAAACCCATTTTTTCAGGCATAAAAACGGTCCTCGTCGGGTAGACTTATTCTCCGGAAATACGGTATTTTATATTTTCACCAGCTTTATGTGGCTATGAGTTTGAAAATGTACCATTGGCAATGGCAGTTGTTGAGCACAAAAGGAATTAAATTTTAAAGTGAATATAGCTTAATTTGTGATTCATGACAATAACATGATTACTCCCCGCTCGTGTCGAACACAATAGGAATTGCTCCAAAACAAAGCCAAGTTTGTAACAAGCGAGGGGAAATCAGTATTCCATAAACAAAAGATTTACAATTGATTATGAAAATTTATTGCTAGTTCGGTGCAGTCGATGCGTGAAAACACGGTAATTTTTCCAAGCGTAGTTTGGCTGGGATATCATGTTAATCAACTATAATATGCATGTACATAGAAAGTATGTCCATTAAATAGTAGGAATGGGGGAGCTCCAGAAGTATGTGCACCAAGGTGGCGCGCAACATGAACGTAGTATTTGTTTCGGTTAGCGCTCAGGTTGTGCGACTAATAATCGGGTTTGGTCGATAACGATACCTCGTTTTTCATGGTAACCAGGTATTCTGTTATCAAGGGCAATTGTCAAAATGCCCTTTTTATCATATTCCTTACTTCTTAAATATACATCGGTTTACTTATCTTGGAAATATCATTTCCTAAAGTAATGTTTCTTGCCCTTGTACAGCAATACGGATGATGCCTCGTTTCGATGGCAACGAGATATTTTTTTGGATGGCATCATATCCAAAATTAATCAGAAGATGCTACTGTACATGTGTGCCAAGTTTCATGCTTGCATCCAAAAGTGCACAGTTCTATCATATTTGAGGTCTTATCCGCTGGATTACACATACAATTCGTAATTAACAACTCAAGTGTAAACAAAGGATTTCTACATATGTCATTTACTAATTGTTTACTATTGTGGTACCTAATCTTTATTTGTCTTGGTCCCACCCAACGTTGGTTTTTGGCAAGTTCATGTCTCGAACAAATCTTTACGTGTTTCGTAAGATTTATTGTAAAAACACATCAAAATGCGATTTATACCCCATTCCCATCCTTTCACACCGGAACCTGGAACATGAACGTACCATAAACTGACTATTGCACATATCGTCGTTGTGCCGTATCTCTTTGTCTTGTGTATTGTACTAGAGGTCCTATATTTCATGTCTGTCGTCCTACGTTAACACAGCCGTCCCAAGCTGCAGTTATACTTGGGGTGCATGTCGCACATCCGTGTCTTATGCCAGTAAGGTCTTATACATGTATCCCGTTTCTGTTATGTCGTTTAATTATTATGCAGTTACTGTTACATTTTTGAGGCAAATAAACATACATACATACAAAAGTTCGGTGGTTATCGAAACAAAACATATTAGCACGTGTGTATGAAATGAGGAATGAGCTTCAAGAAACTGTCCATTTGTCATTCAGATCAGATTAATTTGTGCTGGTCATGGCTTACATTGTGGATATATTTCAATCTTTTAATAAATTGAATCTCCCTTTACAAGATAAATAAACTGACTCGCATAACCTAATACGATTCCATTCGTGCTTTCGGAGCGAAGCTAGAATTATGTTACCGCCGAGCTCAAAAAGGAAACGCGGCTTCATTTTCCAATCCAGGCACTACCCTTGACAATAAACAAATCAAACTGGATGGCGATCTCAAGAGCGATATTGTATCCCACCTTCGACTTTTAAAACAATTTACCCACTATTTTCCAAACTTGCTAATTTACCAGTTCAAGCAGTGGAGTAATCCAACTATATTTCTATTCTTAATGAATAATACCGTATTTATGTTTTTTTATCAATCCATTCATATTTGTTATTAGTAACGGTAGTCTACTTTTCCATTTTTTGTCACAGTTTACACTTGATACCTACTGTGCCTCATCATTTTACTTTGAGCAAGGGCATTCTTAGGATAGGATTTACATACTTATCCCGGTGAAAAAGAAAGCCGATCATAATCATATAGCAAATAATCCCAAGCCGGTACAGGACTATGACCGGTAACGTCAGTCGGTAGTCGTCAGCCGCGTTGCATGTTACCTACCCATTTATCATCTAATAACCAAAACAAAAAACGAGTTCGCTTCCGATAGCAAAGCTTACATGACAAACAACACCAACGATCACTGGGAAGCTTGCAACAAATCGTTTATTATTTCCCAACTTGGCCCATATTCACTGTAAAAACACAAGATAATTATTTGCATGAATAGAATATTTAATGATTATTAGCTTCTTATGTAGAAATGATTCAAAAAAGTACCATTGCGCCATCTCAAAGATATTGCATACACAATAAATTGGATTGCATTCACTTGTATGAGAGAATTGGAATTATAACATGATATGAATGCACCATTATTAAAACAAGTATGATATCATAAAGCACATTTGTTTACGCTAAAGCCACAATGCTAAAACCATTTCAAAACGTCACAAAGAATTGATAATTTAAAGCAGTATTCCACAATTGCAATGTTGTTTTGGTCACAAATCAAAGCATGTTTACCAAAAGTTAAGCAGCTAAAAACCACCTCAAGCGCAAAGCAAAAAAATTTCTAAATTCATTAGCAATCATGATGAAAAAATAGCAATAAAAGCAGATGATATTACATAAAAGTACTTTGAAAAATAAGTTGGACAGATAGATATGAATAATCATTGAGTACGTTTCAATTGGATTGCACTAAAATTACATGGCATTGCAAGACTCATTATGTAGTACCATACGGATGATATGAAAAGAGTAAATTATGTGTGGACTAGGTAAGGAAATTGTTTGTGGCAAATTATCTCAAATTAAAAGTTGCCAAGGAGTTTAAAGAATGTGTGTGAACAGTTAATCCCACTAGCATCTTATGAACATAATATCATTCTGGTATTTGAATAAAAATTTGAATTTATAATTTCAATAAACTTTCGATTTATGGGTAAGTTCGCTTTCATTAGAAACTTGGATGGATATAGTGTCCCAATTGCCATTCGAATGGTTTCCGCCATAGAGGACTATTTGGTCGCCATATACCGGTACATACGATGTGATTCTAAAGTGCAAGTTTTAATTTAATACTAAAAAATTGATAAAAAGGTGATTACGGTACATTGGAGTACACAAGAATATGAAAATGGGGCTCACTGTATTTGGCGGAGAATTAGTTGATTGTCAATTGCTGTAAATATATAGACAAAAGGGCGCTCCCCAGAAGTGTGTGTACCAATATGGAGGTAACTAATTTTATTCGCCTACTTTACATCAAGTTGTGTAAAGAGACTGAAACCTATGGGCAGGGGGTGTATTCGCTTGGCTAACACAGACAGTCCCCGAACTCGTAATAGAACTAAAATAAGGGAAATCGGAATAAAATTATGGCCTAACCTTAACTTGGTACACACACTACGGGTTTACCGACAACAGTATAACAATTATGACAGTTGTAATGATAAAAATGAATAAAGAATTACAATAAAATCAAAAGCTAAGTGAATTTTACAGAAGTACGAACATGAATCGTTATTAAGTAATTGCCATATAATAAAATATTTAGTGAATATAAATATTTCTAAAATACAGTACAGTGAGAATATTAATTCATGAAATGATGATACCAGTACCATGTTAATTGAGAAAGTAGAATGTTAATCATAAAACATTCAAAATAATCCAAGAAAGCACAATGTTCTTATAATATAGTGGCCCACATATAGATGTAAGTTCTCGAATTCAATGAAAAAACTTTTTGCATACACGCCACGAGTTGAAAAACCAAGCAAAACCCACATTATAATTCAGATTAAAATCATCTAGTTTGAGAAAAATTGAAAGAATCGAAAGTTCAAATGAAATTAGTTTAACAATAAACAAGTTCAGTTCAATAAATTTTTTTTAGCAAGTTAAAAGCATAATGTAATGAATAAAAAGTCCTATTTCAACCTGATCGAAAATCATCATCAAGGATCATTATGACCAAATTTAAAGGGTCCACACTACTTTGTTTGGAACATGGTATTACGATAAAAATTGATTTCAAAAAATAAATAAAACAGAAATAATAAGAAAAGGAAAACATTATCAGCTGTATATTAGGAAAAATCATTTTTGCTGATTTCTCAAAATGTACTGGAGAGAAAAAAGACAATAATTAATCACAGAAACTTAATTATAAACGAAGAAATTTGAAAATTATCATATAAAATTTCAAAAATAGTTCGATTCAAGGGAGTTGCTCAACAAGAATAGTGAGGCAACTGAGAAAAAAGTATGAAGAATTATGGAGTTACACCTGTCCAAATTTTGAAACAAAAGAACAGATTCAGTTTAGCATAATTTAATACTAACAAATTTGCGTTTATTCACATTATTTTTAACATGGTGCTCTGGTGAAACACTAGTCAATTCAAAACTAACTACCAGTATATAGTAAGTAAAAAAAAGGCACCGAATGAAAAAAATACTATTTTTATGTTATAAAAGACTTTGATAAAAAAACAGGTTGAAACTAATTCGCAAGCCTTTCGCATCACCCGACCAAGCTGTAGGTGTTCAACATCTATATTTTGTTGATGTAGTCCACCCAAATTTTGCAATTTACTTAAAGCAATATTAGAATTTTCAAATCAAATTCAATGCATTTAATGGTGTGTCGCAACTACCATAACAACCAGAAAAAGTTAATTTAACTTAACAATAAAATTATAATGTACCAAACCAAAAAAAATCAAAAATGTCCAAGCACAAATATAATTGAGCTGGACGCTTCGCTACGATTAAACAGAACTCACAAAAACCAGAGAAAGAGACGAACAATATGTGCCCACCAAAGATATATTTACTCAAAATGTTCCTCTCTTTGCATCACTCAAAACACCCCACACATCAAAGATAAAATTTTCAGGAAATCCAAATTCTCCAAGTTGAGATTCCAATGAAGCAACAAATTGATCGGGATTCGAACATGTCTTCCCAGCCTCGTATATTGTACTTGCTGTTGTGAAATAAGAAAAAAAAATTGATGTTCATTGGACACGAAATGGATACACAGATTGTTTTGTCATTGAAAAAAAAGACATCTCTGTTATTAATGAACCAATTGATTTAAGGTTGGTGGTGTGGCGCATTGTTCTAAGTGTTAGGAATTCACTCACCACCAGTGTTCCCTCTAAGGTGTGCGCGTGTGCACGCACACACAGCTTTCAGAGGCTGCGCACATGCATAGATTTACTGCGCACAGACCTATTTCGATGTAATGTAACAATGTACTCGGTTGGCAGGTTGAGAAAGTTTGTTGTTGGCCCACTCATTACCCGGTTTGAAGGCCAAAATTTCTTCATCGATTTTCGCACAAATATTAGTCATTTCTAAAAAAGTGCGCACACACCAAAATTTCTGCGCACACTTACTACAAAAAATTAGAGGGAACATTGCTCACCACTGCACCTCTGATCACCCTATGTGGGTTTACAGGTTCGAATTCCATAAGTGGATAGTCACCGTATGTGCGAGAAGATTGCTGGACTATCGACGCCGCAGGGTTGCTCACGTAACTGCTGGTAATTTACAGTTCCCTCCACCATCGAGTGGCTGGCTAACTAATCTCATAGCCGACATGGACTAGTAACCGGAGGAGAGGCCGTGGTTTGCCATATGATTAAGCTGTCTTATCAGCTTCCATCTCCCCTGAGATAAATATGTTAATCCTATCCAATTCTCAATACTTGAACATGGATAAAATCACTATAAAGCTATTAATTTCATTTTTGTTTCTTAATTTTCTTTAATCCCATGGAAGTATATTTTATCATTCATGGGCGCACTTCATATGATATTCGGTACAGTTCTTTTATTATTACATATATCATTCGGTAGATTTCAATAACACTAACTAGAATTTTGCAGACATTGTAGTGATCATAGTTACTAACTTGCTCCCTTGTTCAACAACCATATCAAAGTGTGGCTCAGCTCACATTGTAAATATAAACAGGGTAAATTAATTTATCAGACATTACTAACGAGTCTATTGTTATTGGCTTACCAAGCTCTGTATCTCTTATTCCCATAAAACTTTCCAAGCAATCATCAATCTTTCCAACAGCTTTATCTTCTGATTCTGTTGGCTGTATAGATGATATGAATTTGATTAATATTAGCACATTGATTGTACGTGACAAAATAGAATATTTCCAAAATATACTGTTTTATTTGAGTATGTTGTTAAACATTTCTACACACAAGTTACTGTTTGATCATGTCTGATGGAGACCAATGTCAATAGTCACAAATTTGTGAGAAGGTAGGCAAATGAAATACAGTGATACCACAATACTCAAAGAACAGTTCGGTAGTAAACTAAAAATTCTAGTCAAAAATGCTGCGGTACTCAAACAGGAATTCAGTACTCGAGCACGCCGCCGAGGGAGATGACATTACCCAAACCATACATCTCGACTTCTTCTTGACTATTCAATAAGAGAACGATTCTAAAATATATGGACGTGAAGGCCAAAACGAAGTAGTATGTAATCTGTCAGTGGACTACCGGTACGCCAATTTTCACAACTAATGCGAAAGCGGAACTGCCACAAGGTGTGCAATTTTTTATGACATCATCGCACACAAAAACGAATCCCATAGAGCCCACAGAAATTTGCTCAACGTACAGTAACTAACACAATATTTTTTATATTTTGATCTTCATTATGTACACATTCAAATATTTATTGTTGTTTAAAGACACGCTATGTAAATATTTTGGAATGTGTAAGAACGGATAAAAATAATTACAATTGTTTCTTATGGGAAAAAGGGTTTCGGTACTCGAACAAATCGATAGTCAATCCTCAATGATTTATGTTTGACTACCGAGGTATCACTGTAATATAATTTTCAGTACTGAATTGCTGTTTTTTCAAGATATGTCCCAATAACGTACATGAATATCATGATGTTTGTTCGAATAACAAACTAGATGATTATTCAAATGAGAGATTCTGACGACAAGTCTGCTCTGATTTTTTGGAGGAATATATATACTTACAATTGCTTGCACAGTAGCTGGTCCTTTTGATCTTAATCTGAGAGTAGCTTTTCCTGTTCCTACGTTATTGCTATTTGCTGTTGACTGAGGTGCTTTTCGTTGAGCTATCATGTCTGGAACAGAAAACAAATTTACACTCAAATAAGTTGCCAAGGTGTAATAAGTAGATAAAAAAGTTGAAGTTGAAATAGTAAAAGGCTATGAGAAAAAAAGGTAGGCAATACAGTGATCAAGGAGTGATATTTTTTGGCAATTTATTGTTTATGTCAGGCAGTATTACATCCTGATTCCTGTTGTTTGTAGGATAGTAATCAGGAAAATGACACAGGATAGGATGTCCCAAAACACGGAATAACAAACCATAAAATTGGAAGTCAGTATACTGGCATATAAAAGAGTTCTAAACACCTAACGCATGTTCAGTACAGTTTTTACAAAAATTGACCAATCAGATAGGAGAACAAGTTTCGAACCAATACTGACGTGGACATAAAAGAAAGATCATAGGATTTTGAAAATATTTTTCTCATAAAGTTCGTCATCCCGCAATAGAATCCTAAAGAGTGAAATTTGTAGATTTTTCTGCAAAATAAACCTATTTAGAACATTCCAAATCAAAATTGCACTCAAGAATGGAATACTAAAACACATACCAAATGCTTTTCTTGGTTCAACAAGAGTCATTGTCAATGTTGCACCAAGTGGAATATCTTTTAATGCTTTAGCAACTTCAAAATGCCGACAACCGATCAAAGATTTATCATCGATCGCTTCAATATGATCTCCAACACATAATGTCCTACAGGAGTCAGCAATGGTTTCTTCCTAGATAGAAAAATAAATTCAATGAAAGCAAAAAATGTGGTAATAATGGCCAACTCAAGTCTTCGAAAACAAAACGACTCGACTCAAACTTTACACTCAAGAGATACGAGAACAAAAAAATCACAGAATAGGATTTACATATTTATCCCGGGGGAGAGAAAAGCCGATAAGATGGCCATATGGCGAACCACGGCCTCTTGTTCGGTTACCGGTCCATGTCGAATATGGGATTAGTTAGGTATTTGTTTTCGGAAGCATGGACTTGATGGTGGAGGAAGCCGTAACCAGCCAGCGGTTACATGATCCACCCTAGTGCGGCGAGGAATCCAGCAATCCTCTCGCACATAATCATCCATGAATGAGATTCGAACCTGCGAACCCACACAGAGTAATCAGAATTGCGATGGCGAATGTATACCCAACGCTTAGCACGATGAGTCACACCGTCGTCACTGTCATAATGAAATGCCATTCAAAAAATGTTGTATTTGAAAAATCTTGTTAAATTGCAAAGTAAATGTTGCCAATGCATGATTGAATCCGTTTTCGATTTTCAATATTATTCAAAAAATAATACTTTCTAAAACAGCAACTAGATTCGTGAGCGCAATGACTAGACTCAACACTGAAATTAAAAGTTTGGTTCAAAAATGTATATGACATATTTGATGGCTCAGAATTGAATGTAATAGAAGGGGAAAAAATAATCATCTATTAGCCTTCGTTTTCAAACTTGCTTGAGATATGCAGAAATGACCCTGTACTACACCTGTATTACAAGTTACAACCCCTTATAAAACAATACAATACAGTAACAAGTAAGAACAATGTTGGTTCTAGAAGTAGGGATTGAGAAAGAGACTTCAAATATGCAATACCAGTCGAATAAAAAAATATTAAACTCCTGAAGAATATTATTGAAAAATTTTCATAATCAAATTTTTTGAAAAATATGATGTCAAATAAAAAACATTACTAGGAATACAGAAATACTCGTACCATGAACTCACATTCTAATTTTTTTATCGCCGAAACAAATCACAAATATGAATGAATTTTCAACCTAAGAGACAAAATGTTCAAAATAACTACCCGCATATGACATAATCATTCCAAAATATGAAAATATTGATTAATATACCGTAACCCTGAAAATAAAAATTTCTAGTAAAATTGATTTTAAACAGAAGGTGTTCACTTATTCACTTGTATACCATGGATGTACTGTATAATAGATAATCACAAGATGTTTTTCAAGAACATTTCATTTAAATCAATTCTGGTGAAAATTTTTTGAATGTGGCCTCATACATAGGCCTACTTGTATACTAACATTCGTCCTAATCTGTAGGACTACCTATTATGGCAAGTCCGAGTGTAAAAATCTGATGATTGATTCAAAGAATGCTAATGTGTATATGTCATAGATACTCAGCCCCTGGCACCGCCCAAAAACTCGCGAATGTAAATTTGAACAACGAAATTAACAATATATGACATACATAACACTGAATATGTAGTATAATAGCATGGGCAAATGATAAAGTGGTTTATAGTATGGCCCTTGCTCGTTATGAGACTGATTTATCTGAAAAAAAAATTCTAGCTTAAACAAACACTGTGAGTAAATATCATGTCAGGAAAACGGTTTCGAAATAGTTGTCCAAATCGGAAATATATAAATCTCAAGTATTCGATGATATAGGTTAGTTATTACATCATAAATAATGGATATAGATTGGAAAAGTCCAATACTCATACTTATAGTGCAGAATTACAATTATTAAAAATAACCATTCCATGCATAATTATGACTCCTATGAGTAAAAATTGCATAATTATGAATGAAAATTCATGCAAGCTTGATTTTTAAAAAATTTCGAATATTTAGAAATAAATTTTCAGCAAAAATTTTAAGACAATTCAATTTTATTGAAGACTACATAAATTAAGAAACTAATGATAGTGAATTGTGAACATCCAAAGCATGTATGAGTTAAAAATATGCCTTCTTCACATGATTGAAATTACTTTGTTTTTTATTAAGGAAAAGTGTCATTCTTTCAAATGAAATTGACATTAAACCATAAGTTTACAATGCACAATAAATATACAAAATTTATATAACAAATGGACATCCTCAAATACTTTATGTAACTTTTGAACGTAATTATAAAAATAAGTAGAAATTTTGTCATAATTATATTCCATACAACAAACAAAAGGATTGGCTGAATGATATTCAGTACAATCAATCATTCATGTAATGTCAACCTGACAGGGATGGCCATTTCCGAATACTAAACTATTCCGAATACATTCTAAAATAATGTTTTCGAATCTGGAATTCCGAATACATTCTAAAATCGAAAATAACACATTTTTGTTTTAATTAATTAAAACCCAGTAAATTAGGAAATAAGCTTCAATAGAAATATCAGAATGAAGCCACAAACCAACAGTATATGTACACAAAGTAATTGATAGTTTATATCAATAAAAAATAATAGCAACTTGTGACACAGTCAGTTTATTAACATTATTCACTTTGTACCAATGACCATATGAAAAGATAGCCAAGGAGTTGTCTGACGCTTTCTATCAGTGGTACCATGATATTACGATAATAGTCAAGTCTATTGACAAAAATACTACTTGTATTCAGATAATTGTGTATATTTTCTGAGAGTAATAAAATTTATTGGCAATAGGGGCAACAACAATCAAAAATCCATTATGCCTTTAAAAATTCAAATATTTAAGCCTGAGGTATTCTACTACCTACCAGTATATTGTTATTATGTGTAACATATTGTTGTGTTTGGAATTAGAAATAAATTAGTAGAGAATAGATGACCACCACTGCCAGCGCGCAGCCAGGATTTTCGAAATCGGAAATTCCCATTGCCGCCTGTAACACCCACCGCGATTTCGCGCTCGTTAAAAGAGCCGTCTTTTCAGCGTATAATGATCATTCTGTTACGTAAAATATTCAATACATGACAACTACGAGATTCTAAAATATCTTTATATATTAATTTAATGTGTTTAACGTAACTCGCGGTTGCTTCTTCTTACGTCAAAAAAAAAACATTACTATTTGGTCCACGGCGATCTGTGACCTAACATTACGAGATAAAATGCCTGATGTATTTAATTTTAATATTTATTTTTGCAATCTTGTCAACTCGTTATCGCCGTTAGAAAAATCTCAAATAATTATATAAAATCCTGTTAAGTGTAGAGTATAATTCATTTCATACAATGAATATACATATAAAGTTTAGCAGTAAATTAAAAATACATATTCATCGCCGCGATTATGCCACCTCGACTTTTACAACAAATAATATAACAACGAATATATATTTTTCTGTTGTGCAAAGTGATGAATTCGTGACCGACACGGGCATATTTAAAATGTCTTGCTTTAATTTAATTGTCTTCATTTTAACCTGCGATTGCGTCGACAAAATAAAATCCTCACCACTCTTATATACCATTGCAATCCGCGGTCATAAAAATAAAAACATGAGGTGAACTGTCCGATTAAATATTGTTTTGATCCGTATTTTGCGAATTCGGCAAATATTTAGATGCACTTGTTAACAGGGACTCCGCTCGATCGAAATGCTGCCACTCTGATTATTTTTAGATAAAACCGTTCAAAAAATCCATAAATATGCTGTAATATCTCAAGAGTAAAATTTATTTCATCACAATAAAATTGATTGAATATACTTTAGATTGATTATATTATATACATCCTCACAACCCGGGAAAAAGTCGCGTTTCAAACCTTGTATCGTGTTAACATGAAAATATTCAACGGCAATTCAAAGTAATGGATAATCAGGCAAATCCCGCCCTCAATTAGTGACGATATGTTTCTAAACGCCTACCAAACATAATGTGTGCCAGAGGCACACGAAATTTTGCGATTTTCACTGCCTAGAAAAGCGTTTTTTAAATTTTCGCGGGCCTCAATAAAACTTATACTGTTTACGGTTTTATTTTCAGTATTTTAAATTGCCGCTTTTCAATCAAAAAGTTGCGTTGTCTTTAGAAACTCGCCGCCGATGAACGTATTTACCAGATTCACAATTCCGTGCTCGTACAAAAATAAAATAAATGTTATCGTTATCGTGGAACAAATTTGTGAAACATTTTTGTTTTAGAGTAAATAACACAATCGTAAAGGCGTTTACGGGCTTAAATAACACGCTACGCTGATGAGTGATGAAAACAATCACGCGCAAGTTTCTATCGAGAATGTTTTCATTCAACGGAAACGTCTTGAAAGCGGCGTCGAAAATGTGTGACGTCACACAAATATCCGATATTCTTATGAACGTGAATTCCGATATTCGAATGACGAGATATTCGAATACATTCGAATACTTTATTCGAATTGGCCATCCCTGGTCAACCAGAATATGGCGGTGACTTCACACAGGTGTGCACTGATTACATAATTAATTTTGTGAAAACTGTTATCAGAATTTATTTTACAGTGAATCAAACATAATCATACATGGTAGTAGCTTTTTTGAAGTGTTTTAGATTTGGATATGAAAATTAATCTGTATTGAGTGTTGAAAAATTATAATTTATATATTTATATTCTGAAAGAGTTATGCAATCTAATGTAATGTACTGTATATCCTCACATAATTATAAGCTGGGTTAGAACTCCGAAAAAGTTGCCAAATTAGGGGGTCTGCTTATATGTGCATATCTCTGATTGCACCAAATTTCATTAGGTCTCTTCTGCAACCATTTGCTGTGATAGGCGAGTGTGGCGTAATACGATTTGTAGAGTCGGCTTATATAGAAATTTTTTAGAAATCCAGCATTTTAGGGCTTATAATATGCGAGAATATACAGTAACTTTTGTACAATGTCATGGTATAAATTACTGAAACCTTTGGGTACAATTATATACAAAAATAATTTCAAGTGTTATTAAATCCATTTTCGTGGAAGTAATTAATATATTTATGGATTTTGTATTTTCAGGTCACTCTAGTTATTTATTCATAGTCAACTTACCAGTGACATTGGTTGGATATCCTACCTATACTATGTTTTACAATGCGAATAAATTAATGGAAGGAAAAATCAACAGTTTAAAGTGGCATTTACCTTTATTCTTTTAATAAAAGCATAACCAGCACCATTATCAGTGATTGTTAATCCAAGTGAAGCTTCAGATTTGGTTAGTTGAACTGATTTCTTTTGACCTGAAATTAAAAAATAATTATTTATTACCTGGTGACGAAGGTATATAATAAAGCCATAGCTGTTTTCATGTAAGAGACTAGAATAAATATTTGAGAAGCAATAAAGTGATGTGGTAGATTTGACAAAACCAGACAGTTGAGACCTGATTAACGAGTGAAACACTAAATCATTAGTTCATAGTGTTGATCATAGACGCGCCAGACTCTAAAAACAGGGGTGGCCAAATTCGAACAGTTTACTTTTCTGAAATTTTATTTTTGAATGGAATAAAATCTAAAAATTGGTCATGTTCGACAGGGAAATTAACACAAGCCAAATTCATATAAATTAAATTTAATAAGATAAACAACTCCTATTCACAATGTTGACCTAAAAACTTTTATTTTTGGCTAAATAAATAATATTGTAAATCATTCCTAAACGCAGAATAAAATATATATCAAATATAAACAATGTGAAAGGTAGTGAAATATTTTATCGACTTGTGCAGGTATTTCTAGCTATGAATCAAGCTTCGGACAAGCATCAAGTGTAGTCGAAGAGTTGCTATGACTATGAGTCATATTGGCAACATTTTCTAGCTCAGATTGCTTCGCTATGTTACCACACCATTAGTAATGTGGTTTATACCAGTGCTTCCAAACTTATGGGTCACGATCCAAAACTGTTTTTTTAGGTCGCTTCTTTTTTAAAAATAAACCTTAAAGTTACTAATTTTATTTTCTAGTAAATTTTATTCATTATTTTATATTTAGTATTGAAGTGTTGCTCAATAGTCATTGTAGATGTGGGAAGTATATCAGCGTAAAAAACTAGGGACGCATTTATTTTGCTTGAGGCCACGCCACAATTTCAAAAACTCGCTGATGGCAAACAACTTTCTCACTTTGAGGTAATTTCTAAAGAAATAAATGTTATGTTAAAATGATTGGTTTATATTAATCGTTTAATTTTGCGGCCATGAAGGTACTACCGTAAATCTCTATATGCCATTTAGTATTTGGGCATATCCTTAGGTTGCGAGATTTGACAAAATTTATTTTTATAAAATTTGGATCACTTGAAAAAACGTTTGGGAACCACCAGTTTATACAACACTGGTATTGACTTGTAATAGACTATAGCCAACCTACCTTTAACATGAGCAAATATGAAGTCTTCCAAACCAATTTGTCCTCCTAATAACTTCGTCATGTCACATTTATGACTATTGAGGGTACAAAATAATATCTGTAAATGTGTATTATTGAAATTAGACGAATAGATAGATTTAAATAGTAAGCAATTCATTAATCAGGTATAGTTACCTCTTCTTTTGGAACAGATAATGAAGTGGCAATTCTCGCATATAATTCTCGAACATTTGCGAAACCTTCGATCCTGCCGGTTGGGCTTCCATGAGCTAGCTGTAAAATGTAATATCAAATATCTATATAACTCTTCGATACTGAGGGCTTAAATTGGAACTCTGAAATACCAGCAAAGAAATTGTCAAAATCAAATAAATTATTATTCCAAGTATATACTAACAATATTTTTAAATAATCGAATATGTCCAACAAAGAACACATAGAAGATAGACATCGGTGTATATTCAATAAGCGTCAATTTGGAAATGAAGGAAAGTTACGATGAAAATAAAAGAGATTGGTTATATAATTTTTTTGTCGTATTGTAAAACTACAATGGCTAAATAAAACACAGTGATGACTGCACAGGGGGTCCGCAATGATATGAAAAGAGTCTGATCGATCTTTAATAATAATTAATTTCAACAAAAAAGTCATTACATCTTTTTGGTCGAGCGTTGGGAAGGAATATCTCTCGCTGTCAGAAAAGGCAATTACGTAGTATTTTATTGTTTTTTGCAACGACCTACAAGTCGAGACTTGCCGTAGAGTCAGACAAACAGGGGACCGCTGCACAAAAAGTTTAGAAACCCTGGCTTAAAATGATAACTTCTTTAATAAATCTATCGTAAATTATTTCTAAAACCCAACTATTTGGTAAATATCTAACAAAATTAATAACAGTATGTCAGATTACTGAATAAATGGTAATTTTATTCAGACAGAAAAGCTCATACCGTCAGTATCAAATGCCTTTTTCAGCACAGGCTTCGTAATAATCACTTTCAGACCATAAGTATAGTTTGGGATTGAATAGTACAAAACCAACAATGTCAAATATTACCTGAGTATGGAATACAAGCTTTTGTTTAGGTTCTGGAGGTTGTTCGGTGTGGTTACTGTTAGTTTGTTCATAAGCATTTTCAGTCCGACCATTATTAGGCAAATTTTTTTTCTTCTTTTTCCCAAATAATCCAGAAAACATGTTGAATGATTATGTTTATCAAATATAGAAATAAACGGGATTCATACTATAATAATTAGATCTTGCAGTCTATAAAAAAAGCAGATAATAGTAAGTGAAATGACTTTTAGTAAGCAAAAAAACAATTTTTGAATTCTTAAAATTTTATTGAAAATCACATTTTGTAAAGAAGGGATTTAACTTGGAAATTTGCGAGGAGTAACTCATTGATTCGGCAGTGAAAGGCATGCATGAAGAGACAATCAAAAACAGATTCTTCTGTAACCACGTTTGTTTTATTTAACTTCATAAATGATTAATCAATGTTAAGTAATAATGAGTGGTGGTTTCAAGACCATGGATCCTGACTTTTGTATGTTTTCATCGAATGAGGTCAAGAGTCGAAAATCTGAATTCCCCAAGTGTTGGAATTGCAGATAACTCGCAAAACACTAATTTTTTATCAGATTAATAAATAAGGCTTGCATGTGCCATACATTTTGTTAGACTCCGGAGTCTAAGACAAAATTTTTCTCCACTCGGAGTTAAATTTTCCTTAATCAGGAAACAAAAATTGATTATAATATTATGCGACTCCACAGCCGTGTGGTGGGTCATATTTTCACAATCATGAAATATTATGATATTATGAAAAAAAGAATATGGTAGAACTTACATTGATTGAAATGACATTTCTACGTAAGTTTGACAAAGGATTGGTAAAAATGTTGTCCAAGATAAAAAAGCAATGAGTGCTATAATATGGGAAGATAAGCAAAACCTTTTATTTGCACCACATACATCACTGTATCCCAATTATTTACGAGTATATTTTCCTGATGTTGAGGAGAGCATGTCAAGAAGAGAAGAGTGAAATTGTTGCATCCCTTAATTAATAATTAGCGTTCTAGGCCCAACTTGGCTTTTGTCATAGCAATATCCTTCATATCATCTTGAATTCTGGAACGAACGACCTCTAATTCACCTTGGAATTTGACTTTTAACATTTCATTTGTGATTTGGCCTCTGATTAGTTGTTCTTTCCTTTCCTTACGTTTTTTGAGTTCGGACACTTCCGGTCATAATTTAGATAATCTCTCCTTCAATCGTGCTCTCTCTCCTTCATTGGTCACGACAGGAACGCCAGATGGAATTTCGATAAAATCTAAACTGTCGTCTTTATCAACGTCTTCCACGTTTACGTCATCATCGTCCTCTTTTTCACTCTCCGAACTAACTTCAGGAAAAAATTTATGAAGTTCATCATTTTCCAAAGATTGACTAGCATCATTAGAATCTGAATTTTTCGATTTATCGTCCAATTTTTCCTCTTCTGTCATTATTTCATATCTCACATTCACAGCTTCAATATCAGCTTTTAGAAGTCGTTTCACTTCTTTCTCTATATCAGGAGAGTCAATATACTTCTTTTTTGCCGTTTTACGAAAACGACGTTTCCGAACATTTTTTAGTGGTGGAGTAATTCCATGTGGCCATAGAAATTTCCGCTCTCTCAAATGATTCGATTTTAAATTTTGCTGAACATTAGAATTATGTTCACTTAAATCTGTATCGGGAGTACAAACAAGCATATGGCTAAGATTATTAGTTTTATAAAAAGTCTTCATATCTACAGTTTTTTGACATTCAATGACGCAAGGTAAGTCCCAAACTTTTCCTGAATAACATTCCCCATCAAATTTCACTGCACCATGTCGTAAATCATCATGCATATTCAGTGTCAGTCTGTCTTTCAAATTTCCAGCAAGCATAACTTCATTGAGTTTGGTGGCAGCATCCGGAGGTAACCTCATTAAAAAGTAATTTTCCAATTCAAATGGAGCATTGCTCGGTTTATCCATGGCTATAATATATCTAAGTATCTGCCAGAATAACAATAAGAAATATTATATCAACATGCATCTAGTAATATGATGTCGAGCATTGCATAATAGTGTATATATATTGCTTGGCAATAAAATTTCAGGAAAAAATGAAGAAAATTAATTTAACCCTTGAACTTCTTTTTGTGTATGATGGAAAACGAAAGTTTCAGTAATCTAAGAAACTTTGCACAAAAATTATGTTTTCTTCAGAATATAGGTTCTGTTTTTTAGGAGGCAGCCCTGTATATATAATATATCCTCAACTTATATAAATCTACTTGATTATAATAAACAGACCTCCTGAAGTATGCGCACCAAGATGGCGCACACCCTGAACTCAGGTTGTGTACCAGGTTAGGGTTCAGGTTGTGCGACATCTTGGTGCCCATACTTCAGGAGTACCTAATGAACGATAAAACACAATATTCGTAAAACAGAAACACAATTCTATAACACTTTTGGCAACATATCATCTTCTGAATTGTAGGAAAGAATCTTCCAATAGTCAAACTTGACTGAGTACAACACACAAAAAATTGAAAACTCAAAACCAAATGACTGAAGGTATTCGAGAATTTGTCATTATATTAAACTTGTACAATATTTCTTAACTGTCTCGATTTTATAGTATAAAATAAAAGATGAATTCCTGCAAAATATTGATATTCAAATACCAAATATTATCTCAAAAATCATGACAGGAATAATAAAAAATTACAAATAGAACTTATCACTGAATAATAAATGAACTGTATTTTATATAACATATAATAAAAAGATTTAAAATGCAAATTTAAAAACATTGCATAGTATTATCATAATTTATTACTATCGATTACCCAAAATATTTAGGCTTAATATCAATGAAAGTAAAATTCCATACATTAGGCATTCCTTCATGATAGGAAGAATTTTGTGGCCATTTATATGGCGGAATATCACTCAATCCACCAACCGTCGGCCCATTTATTGCATGAGTAGTAAAGGACTTGGCCAAAAAGTAATCGGTTGCTTTTGAATCAGTGCACCCCATATAATTTGAATCATTGCGACAACATATAGCATTGCAAGCATCACCTTCTGAATATTTATCAAATTTATAGTTGTTGTAACGGAGAATTTTTTTCATACTTTCCATATCAACAACAGTGCCTTGATCACGTCGAAATATTTTTGCTCTCGGAGCTAAGTCATGTGACAAATCAGGATCGTTTTTGGTAACAGCCGGATACCCACTCATATTGTAGATAGATTCATAAAAGGGTACGTTATAGGAGGCCCAGTATCCCTCCCTTAAGATATTTGTTTGGTCATGAGATTCAACAAATCCTGGTATTTGTTCCACAACATACAACGCACCATCTTCGAAACCAATTTCAGGCGTGAATTTTTTCAAGTCAACCACCATGTATTGATTATTGTAAGTGCCAGAATTGTGAAATTTGATGATTTCGCCCCAATCATACCCATTGCTAGCTAGAAGATTTGCTGCACGAACACGATGCCAAGCTAAAAGGGATTTAGGAGTTACAAGATCATACAAGCTAGTATTGTATATATTGTTTGTAGTTTGTAATATAACCATTTCACTTCCCAATATATAGAAATCATCCCATGACTGGAGAAAACCAGGATAGCTAGAAAATGACATTTTTGAATTTTTATGTTCCTTACCGAAAACTTGAAAATCATAGTTCTTATAAATACGAAGCATTGCGCTGTAAACAAACCAGGTGCTATGTCCCATATACATGTTTTCAAATCCTGGAGTAACTTTAATAAGAACAGAACAATGACCATGTTTCTGGTTATATTGGCGAAGTTGTTTTTTTGACATTCTTTTAAAATGATTATGCGATGGTCTATGGAAGACGTTAAATAAATCTAACATGTCTCCTGCTCCGTTCAACAAATGCATTTGGCACATGCTCATACTATTATTGGCTGTCAGAGTATATCCAGCCAGAAGTCCCTCCAATTGGCTTTGCATGTATCCAACGGCTTCCCATCTAATATCACCTTTCCCAGAAATCACATTCTCCTTTAACCATTTTTCTTGCTTGGCAAAAAAATCACAAGAACGATTGTATATATCAGCAGGTCTGTTATCAAACAAAAAACCTTTCAAATTCTCATAATTTTGATATATACGCTTTGATGTAAGAGCTCCTTCTAACATTCCAGCGGCATACATAATTTGATCAGGAGAGTATTTCATGTTATGCGTCGTTGCAGTGATGTCGAGGATGCCCCATCCTTTTTCTGCAATCTCATCATTATATTGTCCATAAGCCAATGCTTCTTTCACAATTTCTCTCTTGTATATAAACACTCCATCAGAAAGAACAATACTTCCCTCCTCAGCCAAGCATATAGATTTTAGACTTGTTGATATTATTATAAAAAAAATTATTTTGAAGACTTGCATTCTGAAAGATCATGTCCTGTGAACAAGTAAACACAAATTACTGAATTATATGAAATGTAATGATAAGTTGTTTTAACGAAACAATGATAAATATATGTTAATGAACCTAAAAATCTGTATGTATTTATATACCGATAAATAACGATAATAATGTTTTTAAACAATTCCCAAGACACTATATTCTGATATTAGGCTATTACTGTATTATATTTTTCTTTTTCAATGGCTCCACAAAGTGGATTATTATTTTCTAACATCTTCCAAGGTAAATGAAAGCCCGAATATTAACTCAAATTGTCATGTCTGCATGTGCCAAAAAAATGATCGAAGAAAGTCCGAGAGGCGAAACATTTGGAACGAATCGGTCCGTACAGTTTTAGAGTAAAAAAATGTTTCCTATGTTCAGTTATTACAATTAAATACATTTCAAATAATGGCAGAAAGAAAATTTTTAAAGTTTTAATTGAAAAATTCAGATAAGAGTTTCATGGGTACAAAAAAAAACAAAATTCCACCAAATCAGCCAATATTAAAACTATTGAAAAACTTTAAAAATCAAATGCAAAACCAAACAGCAGGAGCATTATACCATGATTGTAGCAGGTTACAAGCACATGGTATGCCACTTCTGCAATATTCTGATATTTCATACCTGACTGAACCAAAACAATATTGTTGTTTAAGCTAGTATCAATACGGTACCGGTACTGTAACAACTACAGAACTAGGAAACTCCTATTCCTCTTCCACCAGTGTTCAAGTTTATAGAAACGTTAACTACTTCTTTAACGTACTACTTCGGTACTTCTTTTATTAATACCTTCCCACCTAAAATATGTAAAACCTTACTTGAGGTTTCGTTTGCTTTCCCGATTCTATATTCAGTTTTATTTATTTTGTTTTCATCAATTACCGTATCTTATCGTCTATTGCTGATTATGGAGTTGAAATAAACTTATATCTAATAACTATTGGATTTTCAGTGGATCTTGCACCATATAAACTTACACAGTTATGTCTGTATGTGGAGTATACTCTCATACCATTTACAAACCGCTGTGAAGCTAGTAGAATTTGACCTTTGTGTGCCAAACAAATACATACCATACACCAACGACTCCATACACATAACCATGATGTCATCAATTTCAGAATTTAATACATTCCAATATATGTCCACAGGAGTTCGGCCGCAACCGTACCATGGAAATCGATACGGGTATCACATTATCGCGCTGGGCAATCAGCAATAAGATGTTTGGCGCACAGTCACTCAACAGTTGAAAGTTAATCAGAAGAGGGGTTAGTATAACTTTATAATACGGATTGTTTATTTAATATTGATACGGCGAACCATGGCCTCCCGTCCAGGATTAGTTCCCATAAAATAAATAAAAACTGACTATCGGGAGAGCAAACAAAACCTTAAGTAAGGTTCAAAACGTACAGAATACAAGATGGAAGGTACCTGTTCACTTACCCAAAATTATGACGCGGCGGTGTGGCTCAACGGGCTAAGCGTTAGGGTAGGGATAATCCTATCCTATTAAGTTAATTCACACACATTCAACCACAGAGATATTGTAAGAAAAGAATAACGCAATAAACTTGAAACATTTATTTGCCACACCATATTAATATCCGTTGCCAAATTGAGTATCGATTTGGTAAATAAGAGTGAACAATACAGAAAAATAACTATTAAAAATATATTGCCAAGCTGAGTATAAATATAATTGGAGTTAAATTGCCCAACCAAAAGGTGCCACCAGAGTTCGGTGTATGAAGAGGCGGCGAGAGAGGGACGTGCCAAACTCTCCTGCTGCCCGTAGCGAGTTTCGGATAATGCTGCCCCATATATATAGCTAACTTCAAAAATAATTCGTGGAATGATCAATTTATAGATGTTGTTATGCATGAGAATAAATTTAAACGTTTGTTTTATTAAATAAATCATCAACCTAAGAAACAAACTCATATTTACAAGATCGAACACATTTTTTAGCAAAAACATGTCCATTCGCTACAAATGTCTGAACAACAAGCTCTTCCACCTCGTTAGTCAGGAATCCTTTTCGATGCTGATCAAAGATAAACTTGACAAGCCCTGATTTGACATCGAAGACATTAGATATGTTTTTATCGGTTTCAACTTTGAGAAAGATCGTTCGCAACTAGCAATTGAATAGCCAATTATGAATAATGAAGAATATGCATACATGTGTGTGGTTTGACCGACATCGAAAGGTTTTTGCATGGTTTGTGAACAATTTCTCTTGTGTCCCAACCACAATCTCTTCTTTCTCAGGTTTTTCAACTAGCAGTCTAATGATATTTAATTAATATTAATCAATATTTACACAATTCAACAACTTCCACTCAAAGGTGTAGGGTAGTTTTCTATTGATTCCCTATTTGCAATCATTGAGTATTGTACTCGCAGATATATTTTTCGTTTTTCAGGACGTTATGATGATCAATTTAAATGCTATCTATGTCAACATGAAAGGTGTATACATCAACAAAACTTGCAGACTGATGAATCATCCGTGATGAATTTGAACTGACCGCAGTGATCAACAACCTCAATTAAAGTTACTGGCCTATAATCCATGACCCTAGAAACCTTACTTGAACCTTAAACACCATATATATTCCCTTAACCAATTTTCCTACCTCTGTATCATACCGCCCTAATTAATTTTAATTTTGATTACCGGTACCGTTATTGATTAATAGTATTTAAAATAATTTGGACGTTTTTTGGCTTGTTGTGGCTTCTATTTGATGAGTGAAGCAGGTCTAGCCCACCTCTTCATACATCCAACTTGGCAATTCTGATTGGGCAATTTGGCATTAGGTGACTCCAATTATAATCAGCTTGACGATATCTTTTGGGGAATACTTTTCTATCCACAATACATTACTCTTGTTGACTAATTCGGTATCCAATTTGGCAATCCTCATAAAATTATTAATTTGGTGTGGTAAAAGAATTTATTCATTTTTTTTTATTTGTTTGTATATTTTCCTTTCTTTTTACTTTTAAGTCTCGCTTTTTTCGCTTCCGACTGTATCATTTCTCGATGATTGTGTGTGCCTTAATTAGTTTTTTTTTTTACTCTTGGGTGAGCGAACACGTACTACTTCTTTTATCAATACCTTTCCATCTAAAATCTGTACGTTTCAAACCTTACTCTAGGTTTTGTTCGTTTTCCCGATTCTATAATCAGTTACTCTTACTTTTGTTTTTATCTATTTTTTATCGTCTATTGCTGATTATGGAGTCGAAATAAACTTATACTTATGCAATGCACAATGTATGAAAAACATTCCAGCCGAGCCCAATAAACGAAGCAATTAAATCTTCAACATTTTTCGGAAAATATCTGTTGCCATGTCAAAAAAGCGACGCATCAGTAGACATTTTAGCAGCCACACAGACAGATTTTCTCGCATGATTGTAAACATTACCTTTTCACCTTTTTGCGTGCTATTTGTCAGTTTTTGGTTATGTTTCGGAAATTTCAGTGCGGATCAAATATTTCAATGATTATTCTGTCTACTTATAGTGTAATTGCCCAATAAACGAAGCAATTAAATCTTCAACATTTTTCGGAAAATATCTGTTGCCATGTCAAAAAAGCGACGCATCAGTAGACATTTTAGCAGCCACACAGACAGATTTTCTCGCATGATTGTAAACATTACCTTTTCACCTTTTTGCGTGCTATTTGTCAGTTTTTGGTTATGTTTCGGAAATTTCAGTGCGGATCAAATATTTCAATGATTATTCTGTCTACTTATAGTGTAATTGCCCAATAAACGAAGCAATTAAATCTTCAACATTTTTTGGAAGATATCTGTTGCCATGTCAAAAAAGCGACGCATCAGTAGACATTTTAGCAGCCACACAGACAGATTTTCTCGCATGATTGTAAACATTACCTTTTCACCTTTTTGTGTGCTATTTGTCAGTTTTTGGTTATGTTTCGGAAATTTCAGTGCGGATCAAATATTTCAATGATTATTCTGTCTACTTATAGTGTAATTGCTGCTAATCAAAAATTGGACTAGAAATAGCTGTGAAAAACTAGGCTAAACTTTTTTTTACTTATACCTCCAAATATCAGGTTTACATATTTTGAATTAAAATGATCGTTTGAAACATATAAACCAGTTTAAGGCACTAACTCGCGAAACCACACTGAAAATGAGCACCAAAAATGTTGCAATCGTGGAATATGGGAAGAGTTTTTCTGGGCTCAATAGTCGGGGAAACATTCATTGTTGACTCACCATCACCACAGTTAGTCACAAAAGTCTAAGCACCTAATGTCAGCTTCTAATTAAATAAAAACACGCCGAGAAAAACATGTGTACACACAAACTGAAGCTTCGTTCTGCTGCCCCTATAACGTGCTGCCCGGGGCGACTGCCCCCTTCGCCCCCCTCTAGGCACGCCATTGCGGCTAGACCAGGGTCTCCCACTCCCAAACTAGTGCCCGAAAGGCATTTTAATGTCTTTTACAACGACCTACATGTATGAGGCAGCATTTTCAGCTCTTACTAATAGGATGATAAATTATAGATCGAGACTTTCCGCAGAGTCGGATCTACCAGTTTGCTTGTCACAACTTGCTCCGAGAATCGATAAATTGTGCAGTGAAAAGCGACCTCATCCATCACATTAATGTCGTTTGTATTGTAAATGAAACATTATCCTTCCTCGCTGGTTAGGCAAAGAAATTATGGGATGGAGGTCCGTCAAAATTGGGATTCACAAATAGGGGCCCGCGGCCCAAAAAGTTTGGGAAACCCTGAGCTATACCACTTCATTCACCACATTATAGTCCAGATTATACAAGTACTAAAGTACCAGAAGTACTAAATGTTGCCGGTAATAGTGTATGTAAGTATAATTAAATTAAGACGGTAAGATGCGGCAAGGTTATTCTTATTTTTTAGCGTTGATGGGGGTGTTTTCTTGGCGCGGGCTTTATACAAAATATCCCAAATTCGAAAGGTCAAAGACAACAAAATAATTCCGAATTTTGAATACCTTTGACTTTCAATATTCGTGACGTAGGCTACTATTTGGCGTAGCTTGGTCATATCGACAAATATTTACCTGAATTCGAACAGTCTTATTTCGTAAGTCTTATGAACGGCGTTTAAGTGAACATCTACAACTTTTCAATAGAATGATATATATTGATGATGAAGATGCAAGTAAAAAAGAAAACTCTCAATATTCTAAACGTCGAGTAATGTTTCCAATGGGCCAAATCGCTAACGACCGTTATGGCTAGTTGATATACATATATGACATTCAGTGTATATTTATCAATCACTTTCTAATATTTGCAATGAGACACCTTTACAATTGGTTCGCTCCCCATTGTATGTTACGTGGCGTTCTACTATCCCCAATAAAGAACGATTTAGTAGTTAACAGCTAGCGAGTTTCTCTTTATTCAACAATTCAGTTTACTGATTTGAGCGTTTAAATGTTTTTTTTTTTTTAATTCGATCCCCGTAGGTTATTTTGAGATATCCGAGTGGAAAGAGGCATGATTGATTTGACTGAAGAATCATTACATACAACATTTAGGTACCGGTACACCAGCAACAAAAGAGGCTTCAAATTTAACTGCTGTGGAATAAAACGAGTAATTTTATGCCATGTTATTAAATTCGCTCAACCCGTTGCAAAAGTACTGATCTATATGAGATACGTAGCTTGCCATTCACCAATTTTTCTAGCTTCACCTCTCACGTACAAATGTGTAAGTTCGTTTAACAAAATGCTGTGATGTGCAGAGCACAGTATTGAAATTTTCGATTAGTAGAGGAAACATCGCAGTCTTTGTCAGAAACCACATCTCCACACACAAGACGAACAATTACGTCGTGTGTATGTAAGTTCAACTCGTCTCCAAGTAAAGCACTATGTTTATCAAGAAATTATTTTGAGCGGCTCTTAGATTTGTAACACTGTCTAATGAACATATTGAGTTTTAATAAAGTTTCACTACCGGTATGACATAAACCAATTTAGAACTAAGTATTTCGGAGATAGTAATTTAATGGATCTCTCATAATAAATATACTGTACCCTGTTTTATTACTCACACAACGCGGGAAAATATACCGCTCTAGGACAAAAAGCTAGTTTCATAGCTGAACACTGCACTTGGTGCATTGGGTTTCAATCCTGGATCGTTTTGTGTAAAATAATTCTCTGAAGAGACCTCACCCTCAGATAAATTGTCCTCGTTTGTTAAATGAGCAAAGCCAATTTGAAGACTACGCATAATAGGTGTGTATACACATTTTTTTTTATTTACCAAAAATATTACTGATCGTTAGCTGAAATATGCATATCAAAGCTTTTTTGGATTTTCTTTTGATTTATGTTGTATACTACTTTTCCTCAATTTCTTGGTCTTGGGGCCTTTGCCTTGTGGTGTATCTTTATTGTCTGTTTCAGTTTTGGAGTCTTTATTTTTCCTTTTTCTGTTCAAAATATCTTTCGGTGTTGTGCGAATCGTGTCTCTGGTAATTTTGGTCTTTGCCATCTTTTTACGTTCATCTTTTGCCATTTTCTTCATCTTGAGCATATACTCGGGTATGGGACACCCGGCTTCTTTTATAACATTGGCAATAGAGCGCAATAATATTTTGTCATTTTCAGTGAAAAACGTTACAGCTTCCCCTTTACGTCCTGCTCGCCCAGTCCGACCAATACTATGGATATAGCTAATAGCACTAGTAGGAAAGTCATAATTTACAACAAGATTAACTCCTTTGAAATCAATGCCCCTTCCAAGTAATTCTGTACATATTAGTATCCATGTTGAGCCTTAAAAATAAGGGTACAAAATATTAATAAGTTGTTACAGCGTAAATGATTTATTTATGCTATGGAATTTGATAATAATAGAATTTGACAAATCATTTACCCGAACTCAAAAATACCTTAATTAGATAATACTTTGAAGCAGCTCGAATACCACTCGAAGATGAGTATCTTTTACTGATGAGTGTGTGGACTTTGCTCGAGTAATTTGAGTAAAAAATGAAACTCATCCAAAACAAATCATTTTATAATTTTTTTGTATACTATTTTATCAATAGTTTGATTGACTCCCTAATAATTTTTTTCCAGATTCGCCTAAATCCAGATTCGTGTACACACAAACTGAAGCTTCGTTCTGCTGCCCCTATAACGTGCTGCCCGGGGCGACTGCCCCCTTCGCCCCCCTCTAGGCACGCCATTGCGGCTAGACCAGGGTCTCCCACTCCCAAACTAGTGCCCGAAAGGCATTTTAATGTCTTTTACAACGACCTACATGTATGAGGCAGCATTTTCAGCTCTTACTAATAGGATGATAAATTATAGATCGAGACTTTCCGCAGAGTCGGATCTACCAGTTTGCTTGTCACAAATTGCTCCGAGAATCGATAAATTGTGCAGTGAAAAGCGACCTCATCCATCACATTAATGTCGTTTGTATTGTAAATGAAACATTATCCTTCCTCGCTGGTTAGGCAAAGAAATTATGGGATGGAGGTCCGTCAAAATTGGGATTCACAAATAGGGGCCCGCGGCCCAAAAAGTTTGGGAAACCCTGAGCTATACCACTTCATTCACCACATTATAGTCCAGATTATACAAGTACTAAAGTACCAGAAGTACTAAATGTTGCCGGTAATAGTGTATGTAAGTATAATTAAATTAAGACGGTAAGATGCGGCAAGGTTTTTCTAATTTTCTTATTTTTTAGCGTTGATGGGGGTGTTTTCTTGGCGCGGGGCTTTATACAAAATATCCCAAATTCGAAAGGTCAAAGACAACAAAATAATTCCGAATTTTAAATACCTTTGACTTTCAATATTCGTGACGTAGGCTACTATTTGGCGTAGCTTGGTCATATCGACAAATATTTACCTGAATTCGAACAGTCTTATTTCGTAAGTCTTATGAACGGCGTTTAAGTGAACATCTACAACTTTTCAATAGAATGATATATATCGATGATGAAGATGCAAGTAAAAAAGAAAACTCTCAATATTCTAAACGTCGAGTAATGTTTCCAATGGGCCAAATCGCTAACGACCGTTATGGCTAGTTGATATACATATATGACATTCAGTGTATATTTATCAATCACTTTCTAATATTTGCAATGAGACACCTTTACAATTGGTTCGCTCCCCATTGTATGTTACGTGGCGTTCTACTATCCCCAATAAAGAACGATTTAGTAGTTAACAGCTAGCGAGTTTCTCTTTATTCAACAATTCAGTTTACTGATTTGAGCGTTTAAATGTTTTTTTTTTTTAATTCGATCCCCGTAGGTTATTTTGAGATATCCGAGTGGAAAGAGGCATGATTGATTTGACTGAAGAATCATTACAAACAACATTTAGGTACCGGTACACCAGCAACAAAAGAGGCTTCAAATTTAACTGCTGTGGAATAAAACGAGTAATTTTATGCCATGTTATTAAATTCGCTCAACCCGTTGCAAAAGTACTGATCTATATGAGATACGTAGCTTGCCATTCACCAATTTTTCTAGCTTCACCTCTCACGTACAAATGTGTAAGTTCGTTTAACAAAATGCTGTGATGTGCAGAGCACAGTATTGAAATTTTCGATTAGTAGAGGAAACATCGCAGTCTTTGTCAGAAACCACATCTCCACACACAAGACGAACAATTACGTCGTGTGTATGTAAGTTCAACTCGTCTCCAAGTAAAGCACTATGTTTATCAAGAAATTATTTTGAGCGGCTCTTAGATTTGTAACACTGTCTAATGAACATATTGAGTTTTAATAAAGTTTCACTACCGGTATGACATAAACCAATTTAGAACTAAGTATTTCGGAGATAGTAATTTAATGGATCTCTCATAATAAATATACTGTACCCTGTTTTATTACTCACACAACGCGGGAAAATATACCGCTCTAGGACAAAAAGCTAGTTTCATAGCTGAACACTGCACTTGGTGCATTGGGTTTCAATCCTGGATCGTTTTGTGTAAAATAATTCTCTGAAGAGACCTCACCCTCAGATAAATTGTCCTCGTTTGTTAAATGAGCAAAGCCAATTTGAAGACTACGCATAATAGGTGTGTATACACATTTTTTTTATTTACCAAAAATATTACTGATCGTTAGCTGAAATATGCATATCAAAGCTTTTTTGGATTTTCTTTTGATTTATGTTGTATACTACTTTTCCTCAATTTCTTGGTCTTGGGGCCTTTGCCTTGTGGTGTATCTTTATTGTCTGTTTCAGTTTTGGAGTCTTTATTTTTCCTTTTTCTGTTCAAAATATCTTTCGGTGTTGTGCGAATCGTGTCTCTGGTAATTTTGGTCTTTGCCATCTTTTTACGTTCATCTTTTGCCATTTTCTTCATCTTGAGCATATACTCGGGTATGGGACACCCGGCTTCTTTTATAACATTGGCAATAGAGCGCAATAATATTTTGTCATTTTCAGTGAAAAACGTTACAGCTTCCCCTTTACGTCCTGCTCGCCCAGTCCGACCAATACGATGGATATAGCTAATTGCACTAGTAGGAAAGTCATAATTTACAACAAGATTAACTCCTTTGAAATCAATGCCCCTTCCAAGTAATTCTGTACATATTAGTATCCATGTTGAGCCTTAAAAATAAGGGTACAAAATATTAATAAGTTGTTACAGCGTAAATGATTTATTTATGCTATGGAATTTGATAATAATAGAATTTGACAAATCATTTACCCGAACTCAAAAATACCTTAATTAGATAATACTTTGAAGCAGCTCGAATACCACTCGAAGATGAGTATCTTTTACTGATGAGTGTGTGGACTTTGCTCGAGTAATTTGAGTAAAAAATGAAACTCATCCAAAACAAATCATTTTATAATTTTTTTGTATACTATTTTATCAATAGTTTGATTGACTCCCTAATAATTTTTTTCCAGATTCGCCTAAATCATAAAACATCTACAAAAATCTAGCTTATTCCCTTTCATCTATAACAGCATCATACCTGACCGGAGAGCCTTGACTGCATTTTCTCTCTGCAGCTGAGTCCGGTCTGCATGTATTGCATCCACATTCATACCATCATAAATTAATTCAGCAAACAACTGCTTTGCTCGTTCTTTCGATTGTACAAAAATCAGTACAGGTGGTTTGAAACCTTGTCGAAACAAGTCTCTTAAAGCTATTAATTTTCCTCGTTCGTTTCCAGTAAAAAGTAATCTTTGATCAACCGACTTTACAGCAGTGTTCTTTCCTCCCACAGTAATCTGAAACAATTTTTCAACTTTCGTTAATTGATGAATCATTGAGAAAAGGTTATATTGGAAGCAATATCAAACCACAATATCTGGCAGTAATAATTTCTTGAGGTAATACCGCTCAATTTCTGACCCAAATATGATAAATTTACTGGCATTTTTCTACTATGGGTTATTTCACTCTATTGAATGTAAATTAGCTCATACATAACCATAGTCTACACCTGTATGAAAGAAGAAGAGGCAAAAAACAGCAATATTCTTGCAGACCTGTATAACACTGTCCATATTCAGATGGCACCATTGTTGAACATCAAATGCAAAGGTAGCACTAAACATAGCACGACGGATTCTCGGTGAAGTACAAGCACTGTAAATTGTTCCAAGTTGTTCTCTGAAGCCACTTGTATTTCCTATGAATAAAAGTATATGGTGGTATATTACATGAAAGTCGAAAAAAATAAAGTTTACTATCATGACTAAGGTATTAGAAAACTTGATCCCAAATAGTTAAATTCAAAAATAAATACCTAGCCTGCTTTCATTATGAATATCTCAGAAAGATTAACACACTCAAGCTGAAGTAGTACAATTTATTAGACTATTCACAGCTTGTCGTAATGTATGACCTACCTTCTTCGAATAGTTTATCTGATTCATCAACAATCAACCATTCAATACTTTCCAAGCTAATTAGGGGAGGATCATGTGTCAATAGATGAACCAGTCTGTTTGGTGTCGAAATCAGTATGTCATATTTGTCGCGATGTTTTGCACCAGCAGTTTGGAATTTTTTCATAGTTGCTTTGTCAAGAATCTGTACTTTCATTAATTGGTCTACATTACTGGAGATAGGGGTTATAAGTTGCTTACAAACATTCAATGTCTGTGTTGCGAGTTCTCGTGTTGGAGAAACGACCAATCCTTTCAAAGTCCGCTTTCCTTTTTTAACCCTTGTATTACAATCACCAACGCTTTTCCCCATAATATGAGCAATCAAAGGAATCAGAAAGGCAAGGGTTTTCCCTGAACCAGTTGGAGCGCAAGCAAGCACTTCTCTTCTATGCAACATCGCAGTAATAGCCTGCATTTGTATAGGAGTTGGAATAGAGAATTTCATGTTTTGTTCAATAGCCTCCAACATGTCCTGATTCAAGTTGAACACCGAAATTAATTGTTGAAAATTTTCAAGTAAATCAGGCACATCAGTACCCTCTATGAAAATTTTGTGCAATTTTCGGAAATTATTTTCTTCATGTGTATCACCCAGCTTATTAGAATAGGTTTCAATGCCTCTTCCATTTGTTGTTTTCTTATTTGGGTCTGAAGTTTTATTTTTGAAAAAATTTAGATGTGGTGCATAATCTTTTGCAGTGTTTGTGTTATCAATCTTTTCAGATTTCACCAATTTCAATTTTTTGGCATCTTCAGGGAATCGTTTGAAATCAAACTTCAACCCAAAACACAGTTCACGAAGAACATCCTGGTCATCCATGAGTAACTCCTTTATAACTGTAACAAGAAGAAATCAAATTGGGAAAGAAGATATATTATTATATATATTATTTTAAGATAATCTATAGAGAATTTTGTCTTAACACTATAACAGACAGTAAAATACTACTGCAGTACTGTAATACTTTCGAATGATAAAAAAGAAAGCAATTAGAATAATTTCAGTATTCGGAAAGAACAAAAAATGTTAAGCTAATTTTATTTTATTAGAATACTGTAATTGGCACGGCGGTGCGGCTCATCGTGCTAAGCGTTAAGAATACGCTCGCCACCGCACCTCCGAATACCCGGCAGCCCGGTGTGGGTTCGAATCCCATGCGGGGTGGTTATGGAGTGGAAGTGGTGACTCCTCTTCGGCCCATGGGCCGGGGCCACGGCCCATCAAGTTGTGTAAAGAAACTATTCACTTGGCTAACACAGACAGTCCCCAAACTCATAATAGAACTATAATGTAAAAAATCTGAACAAAATTTTGCCCTAACCCTAACCTGGTACACATACTACAGGAGTTTATTTTTTGGTTCGAATATTGACAATTTTGTAAAAATTGAAAATTTTGGTAAGATAATTGAATTTTTCCTGACGGGGCCGCGGCCCATAGCTTGATGGGCCACGGCCCATGTGGCCCAATTAGATGGGCCGTGGCCCCGGCCCATGGGTCGTAGAGGAGTCACCACCCCTGTAGTGGTTATGTGCCAGAGGATAGCTGGACTCCTCGCCTCCGTAGGGTGGTTCACGTAACCGCTGGTGGTCGGTTACGGCTTCCTTCCTCCACCATCAAGTCCTGAAGTCCATCCTTCCGACTGTCCGAAAACAAATTACTAACTAATCCCATATCCTACCGGTACGGTAGAGGACATGGAATGGTAACCGGACGAGAGGCCGTGGTTCGCCATATGGTTATGTCGTCTTATCGGCTTTCCTGTCCCCCGGGATAAATATGTAAATCTTATCCCTGAAGCCATGAAATACCGTAAAACGTTTGCTGTCTTGGCCCAGAAATTCCAGCATTCTGCTACCCATGCCAGTCTGAACTGCTCTGTGCTGGTATCGCGCCGGTACTACAATATCTGTATATGTTAAACATAACATACGGTACATAAACATTCGTTATCTTATCTAACCTATGTGAGTCCCAAACCAGTTCCGCCTGTCGCAGAGATCAGTTACATGCAATTAATTGGTTACGGCGAGTGGCGTTTCAATTTGCGCACGTGTTTTCAATTTGCGCAGTGACCAACCTTGCGTTCGCAGCACAAGACGATAGCACATACACATTCGCATCAAAACATAGGTGGTGCTTGTAACTTGGGGTAGTATTGAGACGACCTCGTCTATAACTCTGTTTTATTCTGTATGCCCATATAAATTCTTACCAATTGAGTCACTAGGGAGCAACTGTGTAACTTTCTCTTTTAGCTGGTTTGTCAGTTGTCAGTCGGTTAACTGAACTGAAGGACGTCGAGACATGGCCGCTTCGTACTCAGAGATTTTAAATAGGCGTTCCGGTAATATTCCACCGCAGAGAGATAAAAGTATAAGTATTTCGACTCCATAATCAGCAAAACAATAAGATGAATGGTAAAAATAAATAAAAACTGATTATAAAATCAGGAGAGCGAACAAAACCTTAGATAAGGTTTAAAACGTAAAGAATGTATATAAGATGGAAGGTTTTGCCAAGAAGATGCGGTACGTGTTCACTCACCTAAAATAATTGAAATATTTCACACACGCACCCACACACACAACCATATAGAAGTTATTAAGTAAAGGGAACATGAAAAATTACATACTGGTAGTTAATAAAAAATAAATAAATAAAAATTACTTGCCACACCATATTAATAAATTTATGATGATTGCCACTGCCAAATTGATCAGTTTTATAAATGGGAGTGAACAGTAAAGATGAACTTTTTAAAAAAAATGTATTGTCAAGCTGATTATAGATGGAGTCAAATGCCAAAATGCCCAACCAAAGTTGCCAGAATTGGATGCATGAAGAGGTGGGCTAGACCACTTCATTGCCCAAACTAGAGCCTATTATTGCCAAATTATAGTCCAGATTGTAATAAGTATTTAAATCTATCAGTAACTTTATAAGTATGAGTAATTATAATTAATTAAGGTAGAAAGACAGGGTATAGGAATATGTTGTTTGCTAAGGTTATAAGATTTTTTTTTTTTTCATTCTTAGATATTGACTTCTGCAAGGATAAAGGAATTAGGAATAAAGGAATTAGTATTGTTATTTCACAGGATCATTTCTTCATTTAATTATTGTGGCGTAATAGATGTCAATTCAAGTTTATCGTGGATGAGACATCAGCCTGCGAATTTTGTTGTTGTAGACAACATTTATATTCAATAAACTAGCCATTGTATTGATCATCACGGAACGACCTGAAAAACAGAAACTAAATCTGCGAGTAGGATATTCAAGGGTTACATATTTGGAAACAGCACTACCCTACACTTTTGTTTAGAATTAATTATTATTTCGAGTAGATATTGATTATTAGTTATTTATCTTTAAAACGCTAGTTCAAAGACCAGAGTTGAAATATGGCTGGGACACCGGGTGAATTCCTCGCAAACCATGCAGAAACTCTCAAACCACACTGACCATTCGTATGTTGGCCTTCAAATTAGCTTCACAGCAGAACCTCAACCTAGGATAAAATTTTGTATACACACAAAACAAATCATAGAATACCACAACAAATTAAAACAAAGGGGAGAATCCAATATATCTCCACTGGTCGCCTAATTACAATAATAGGTACAGGAGCTAAACTATACGGTCTACAACCCTCATAAGGTATCACACCACCCATATAGAAACAAAGACCATGAGTGTAATGTCAAAAATCCAACATTAAGCAAAAAGGGAACATGCGCATGCAGATGTCAGAGTGTAAACAGCCATTTGAAAAATAAATAAAATAATTTGCTGTGCATGCTACAGAACCCGACACACCAACATTAGATGTAGAACTGGTGGAGAGAGATTAACTGCCGGCTCAACAGCAATCAGCAGCTGCAGGGAGTTAGAGTGTTAGAGAAATTCGAAGACCGCATTGTTTACATATCCAACTTTCTAAAGAAGACCATTTTGAAGACGGAATTAGAAATGCTGCTAAAAGTATTGTTTTAAAATGCTTGATCAAAATCCATGTAAATACAATTGCAGTGAGGCCGTACAACTCTGTAGATATTACATGTAACTCAAGAGCCGCAGTATTACAGTTAGCAACTTTTTTAGAAGATGAACCACATACCATACTTAAATGGCATTTGTATGAGCCGGAATTGATTAAAGTTAATATCTCATGGATACCAGGCTATTTAACCACCAATAGGGTAAAGGCAGCATTGCTTGAATATGTAAAATTTGACTCCGACGTTAACAAATCTAAAGATAAAGATGGGATTGGAGAAGGAACAATGAATGTAAAAATATCGCCTAAATCACTGCAAGAACACCCAATACCAAGTTATATTTTTGTGGACGGATACATGCTAGCAGTCAAGTATTATGGACAGAAAAAAACATGCAAACAATGTGGCTCAATAGATCATTTTAAAATAGATTGTCCGATTAGACTTCAAAATAGAAACTCGAGACAAAGCGTACCAAAACCAAGCAAAATTTCTTCACCGAATTATGCCCCTACACAAGAGGAAAATGAAGTGAATGCATCTTTGCCGAAAACATCAGAGGAAATACAGATTCAACCAGAACAAACAACCCTAAATCACTGGATTGATGCAGAAGTAACACAGCTCACTATGCAAGTTGAACAAACTACTACGGATAAAAGTACCCCACTAAAGCCAACTATTTGTGATGATAGGACATCACAACCAGAAAACCAAACCTTGATAATGTGGCATAGACAACAGAAACGACTCCATTCTGATAGTCCTAATGAGCAACCACGGTCTCAACTAAAATATGATGAGGCAACAAATGACAAAAATGAAATGGATATGACTGAAGATAAGGCAAGTAAACTTCTTATGTGTGGAAAATGTGGATCAAATATTGTACTCATAGATAATTCTAATGAAGTGATGTGCGAGTACTGCAGTACAATAAATTTGATTCTAAAGCAATGCTGTCAGAGTGACGGATATTTCACTGTACCTAAAGATCAAGCTAATCTCAATGAACTACTTATCCACCATGTTGTTTGAACATTAGTAATTGGGAAAAAAATCTACTTGAATGCAAAATTTGTTCAAAATTATACATTAAATGCCATTGCTCATCATTAAATGAGCCTCCTTTAAAGGGAATGTTCAAAAAGTGTAACAACCTTCAATGCAAGCAAACCATAACTTTTTGTTCTTGTGGTGTAATAAGTGGGTCTGAAAATGGCCCTTCATGCACGCGTGGTAAATACCAAGTGGATCCTAATTGTGACACAAAAAGCTATGGATAATCCGACATTGAACATTGCCTCACTTAACACTAGAGGAATAGCAAGCTTTGAAAAAAGAAAACAAGTTTTTATGTTTCTCAAAAGAAAGAAGTTAGATTTGATTTTTCTACAAGAAACGCATGGAGTAGAAATGCATCAGGATCAGTGGTTAAAAGAATGGGGCGGTACTGGGGCGTTTAGTCACAATTCAAGTAAATCTTGCGGCGTTGCAATTCTATTTAACACAAATGTTGATTATAATATTCATAAAACTCTTAAAGACACAAGCGGAAGATATATTGCAATTGAAGTGACTATTGGAGGATTAAAATTTGGTCTGTTGAATGTCTATGGGCCTAATGAAGATAAACCTAAATTTTTTGAAAACCTGATTAAAATTTTAGATGAAATTGAATGTGATAACCTCATAGTTGGAGGTTTTAACCTTGTGTTAAATGATAACATGGATAAATTTGGAGGTAGAGCGACACATAGTAATCGAAGATCAAGAGAAACTGTTATGAATATAATTAGTGAATACAATCTATGTGATGCATTTCGTTTGAGCCATCCTACCAAAAAAAATTATACTCACTTACAAAAGCCAGCTAAAATTTGGACAAGAATTGATTTTTTTCTAATATCAAGTGCACTCATGAAGAAAGTAATGAATTGTAATATTTTACCTAGCACAAGATCTGATCATTCTCTTTGTTTTTTGAAACTTCAACTTGACCCAAGAGGTAATGGATATTGGAAGTTTAACTGCAATCTACTACATGATGAGATTTACATTAATTTAATACGTACTACAATATCAAATGCCATTTATGACCATTCGCATCACCCTGTTAATCGACATATTTTTTTGGGACACCCTCAAATGCATTATTAGAGGTGAAACAATCTCTTACTCATGCAGAAAAAAAAGAGAACCTACCAAATTAATAGAGGAAGTGGAAAAAGATATCAAAGAACTACAGGAGCAGTTACTAAATGATGATTCTGATCAGACCTATGAAAATCTTTTACTTAAACAGACAGAATATGATGAACTTTTTCAAGATTTAACCCGTGGAAGTATTATTCGTAGTAGAACAAACTGGGCAGAAAATGGCGAAAAAAATTCCAAATGTTTCTTTGGTTTAGAAAAAAGAAGAAAAACAAAGTCTTCAATCACACGATTAAAAATTGACAATAATTTAGTAACGGATCAAAAGAGTATACTAAAGGAAATTCGACATTTTTATGAAAATTTGTTTCAATCAAGTACGCCTGATGAAATCAATATCAATAATATTTTAAATAACTTGAATATTCCAAAATGTCTGAGGAAACATCTGATATATGTGATGGTAGTATTTCATTATCTGAATGTAAAAAAGCACCTTTTTCAATGAAAAACAATAAAAGCCCTGGACCAGATGGATTCTCATGCGAATTTTATAAAACATTTTGGGAGGACATCAAGATGCCTTTGTTAAATTCATACAGCTACTCTTGGATAACTGGAAAACTCAGTGATACCCAACGTCAAGGCTTAATTTCTTTAATACTGAAAAAAGATAAAGAGAGAAATGACATAAAGAACTACAGGCCTATCACATTGCTCAATGTAGATTACAAAATTCTAAGTAAGGTTTTAACGGCTCAAATAAAGAAAGTCATGGACAGTATCATTGATGAAGATCAAAGAGGATTCCTCAAAGGCAGACAGATGGGTGAAAATATAAGATTGGTATGTGACGTAATCAACTATACATCCCATCATAACATACCAGGTGCTATATTCAATTTAGACATTTATAAAGCATTCGATAGTGTTGAGTGGTCATATTTATTCAATGTACTCGACCGGTTTGGATTTCATCAAAACTTCACATCTTGGATCAAGATAATGTATAGAGACAGCTTATCCTGTGTAACAAATAACAACTATCTGTCAGAAGATTTCGTATTACAGAGAGGTCTAAAACAAGGTGATCCGATCTCTAGCTATCTATTTTTAACCTGTATAGAAGTTTTGGCCATCATGATAAGATCAAATGAAGGCATAAAAGGAATACAAGTGAGTGACGTAAC